TTAACTTGGTCAGCCCTGAACTGGTCAGGCAGTTGAACTAGATGACTGTAGTAGGTCCTTTTATTAACATGCTTTAACTTGGTCAGCCCTGAACTGGTCAGGCAGTTGAACTAGATGATTGTGGTAGGTCCTTTCCAGGTCGTTTCCAACTGAAACAATCTGCTCTGTCCAATTCTACTCTATTCTATTTCACTTGAAAAATAGCAATGCATATTTCTCTACGTCTTCATAAAATACCAGCTGAGGGACACTCCCCCACTCCAGTGCACACTTTTTCAGTCATGTCACAGCTCCAGGATCTCAAGATGAGACCCAGGATGCACCGCTTCACCTGTGTTCCTATAATCTAGTTTCTGTAGGAAAGACAAAAACTTATGGGCTGCCCAGGAGCCATGACATGCTCTAAGCTAGTCCCAAGACGGATGCCTGGGAAACAGGGACCCCCAAAGACACTGCAGTATGCACTTTCATGCAGGTCACATGCAGCTTCTGTTTCTCTTACTCAAAGGTAGCCTCTATTACAAGTAAAGCCTGGCATCTGGATCTGCCCTTCAAAAACCCCTATCCAGAGACCTCCTGTGTGGAATACACACTATAAATGACAGAAATATAAAATTCTTTCTCCTCAGCTCTTATCTAGCTGCAAAATGTTGACATCTACTCTTTCTAAAGGGCTCCTTCGTTTAATACAAAGGCTTAGCATTTTTTTAATGTCACTGTCAGTTTTATATGTAATGCTGCTATACTTTGTAGTTTTCAACTGATGGTAAAATTCCTCTGCTTTAAACAGAAATTTTCCTTATTTTGTAAAAAGGAAAGGAAACAAAGCCAAGACTGTGGCCAGCTTTTTTAATGAAAATAATTATATTAGAAAAAGGTTGCAAGAAGAAAAATATATTAAAAGTTAAAAAAATAATAGTTCTTTGTATTTTCCCCTTTTTTAATCATTTTTGTTATAATTTAGATAGGGCAGTATGATCAAATTTTTATGTTTATTTATCAAATTATTGCAGCCAATCATATAGAAAAAATTCATTTCCTTCCTCTCACAACAGTTTCTCAGTCTAGAGGATAATGCCACAATGTGCCTGGTATATCTCACCTATGCACATAATCATTTCATAATTGTTCTCAGGTGTTCCTGAACATCCTGTTTTGCTGTGGTATAATGCTCAGGAACACAAGCACTCATTTCTTTATATGAAGTAAAAATAATTCTGGTTTTAGTTAAATTATCATTGCCTTTTTCCTCCTACCCTCTCCTGCAGGCTACATAGACTCAAAAGAGTCCGTTCTAGAACATCACAAGTTAACTCAGTACTCAGCTTATTCAGACTTATTGTATTCCTTTTCCATGGTTAACTCTTAATGTCAGCCCTCTCCCTTTAATATGCAGACAAATTTGGAAATCCTTCCATAATATTTGGTTTTACATGCTGATGGTAAATAATTTCCACCTGAGTTTTCTTAACATTTGAATTCTGAGTACCATACCATTCATGCTATTTCTAATTCATTATTCATGCATTACCTTATTAGATCCCCATGTCTGAATAAAGTGCAAAATATCAAGTAGACCACATTTTTAAAAATCAATTGGTTTTCTCTCATTATTCACTTGACTTTTTTGCTTAGTGACTGATACCATAGGTATTAAGAATTTGGTATCATCATTTTTTACAATAGTGTTGTTAAATATGCTTACAGAGGTGGACTAGCAAAAAACCTCCTACCTCCACTGGTTTTATCTCTAATGTAATACTTAATTAGTAACAGCCCAAGATGTGGAAATGTAGGTGCTGCTTTTGAACTCAGTATCCTGTAGAAGACAGGATAGTACTTCAGCGGTTAATTGGGTTACTTTTTCTGCACATAAAGGATGCAAACTTACAGAAAATGCTTTGAGGTGAATATAGACTTTCTTAGACCTTTCAGTAAATTCTTCACAAGGCTCTTCTGCGATATACTTACATCACCAAGGCTGTTCAGTTCCTTTTGTTTCTTTATGCTTTTACATTATACATGATAATCACATATGGGTTATTTCATTTGAAAATCAGAAACTTATTATTCGTTACTTCTTAATACCGACTCTCTGTACAGTTCTTTTCATTTTTCTCAAAAGTGGTTTTAAAACCACAGAGCACTTTAGAGTTTTTCCTTTTACATGTATAGACTTTGGGGAGCAGAAAGAGGAGCTACAAAAATATTGTACTTACTACATGTTAGGGAAAAGTAGTTGTTTTTTTATAATATGCTATTCTCTTAACACAAAGAAGCACTCACATTTCCAACAGCAATCTATATTTTTCTGGGCACCTGAATTATGTCTATTAAAATCTGGCAAAACCTGGAAAGACAGAGACCTTCATTCACCTGCCACCTGGTTTCAACAGCTTAGACCAACTTTTAGTCATAAATTTGAATTCCAGTTTGCTATTGTCTCAAAACAGCTTTGCAGCTGTGTGGGAAATGAATAAAGAAAGGCACAACATATAGTATCTGAACAAACTAGAAGGCAGGACAAATACTGGGGATTGTAAGGCGATTAGTTTTTTCCTTTTAGTGGGTGGTAGGTCTTCAAGCAGGTTATAGTAGCCATAGTACTGAATCAGCACATATGATGGCCAATATAGAAAAGGTCTGGCTTTTTCTTAGCATCACTCCTAATGATGCACGAGATGAGTCCTGAGGATTGCTGCCATCCATGGAGGACAAGAAAAGTCCAACTCCTGAAAAAAAACAGACCTACGAGTATGCAACAGAGGCATAAACCCTTGAGAACAAGAGTCTTTAGCTTCTGTGGATTCCTCACAACCTCACAGTGGACAGAACTTCATAATCTTGACCAATAAGGAAAACCTATCTTCTGACAAAATGTTAGGAAGAAATCTCCTCAAGGTGATTTTAATTAGTGTTTTTCCCTTTTGTGACCTCTTTTTTCCTATGCAAATGTAATCCAGACACAAATTTTTACTTACTGCTTGTTAAATGCTCACAATATATATAAAATGGCATGCATTCTTTTACAGTAATAGTGCCATGTAATACTAGCCAGGAAATGTTTCAAAGCACACACATATTACTTTTTTCTATTTCTATTGCTATTTTTAAGTTCTATCTAGTTCTTTTTGTTTATATTATGCATGTGCACACATTTTACATGTGTATAATCAGATTTCCATTGGTATGTACAAAGTTAAGTGTGGGCAGCATTCAAGCAAGGTTAGCTTCAGAAGAAACACATCTGAGAAAGGATGCAAGAGTGGAATTGTATATCAAACATTTAGGAAGTATCCTTCCTTCAAAGAATGTCAAAATGATTTAAAGACTTGTACATGCAGAAAAGGAGACATGTAGAGCTCTCTGTGGAATAGAAGGAATATAATCCATTCAGCACACACTACATTTCACTACAACCAAAGCGTACCAGAAATTTAGTGCCTCTGCAAGGAAGACTGCAATAAAACAGCATGGACACACAAACACCTGCATAGGGTAAATACCACACTAGCTAATTATGGCCTGACACTGCAAACAATTAATAAATACAAGCAAAACCAGTCATCAATATGCGTGATGGGGTGCAGGTGTTCATGCTTACACACACGTGTATGTCTTCAGAGTGCATTTTAATCTGTTTTATATTGATGAAGAACTCTGCTGACTCTACATGAGCCAGCTTCAGTGTGCACTTGCAGCCCAGAAAGCCAACCTTACCCTGGGCTACATCAAAAGGATAATGACCAGAAGAAGGTGACCCTGCGCCTATAACTCTGCTCTCATGAGACCTCACCAGGAGTATTGTGTGCAGTTCTGGTGTCCTCAGCATAAAAAAGGACATGGAACTGTTGGAACAAGTCCAGAGGAGGGCCACGAGGATGATCAGGGGACAGAAGCACCTCCCGTATGAAGACGGGCTGAGAAAGTTGGGGCTGTTCAGCCTGGAGAAGAGAAGGCTGCGTGGAGACCTCAGAGCAGCCTTCCAGTATCTGAAGGGGGCCTATAGGGATGCTGGGGAGGGACTCTTCATTAGGGACTGTAGCGATAGTACAAGGGGTAATGGGTTAAAACTTAAACAGGGGAAGTTTAGATTGGATATAAGGAAGAAGCTCTTTACTGTAAGGGTGGTGAGGCACTGGAATGGGTTGCCCAGGGAAGTTGTGGTGGTGTTCAAGGTCAGGTTAGACACGAGCCTTAGGTGACATGGTTTAGTGTGAGGTGTCCCCGCCCATGGCAGGGGGGTTGGAACTTGATGATCTTAAGGTCTTTTCCAACCCTAACTAGTCTATGATTCTATAGAGATAGAACACCATATTTTTAGGAAGTTTGAGTGCTTAATGCTTATGTGAAGAATTTGTAATTCCCCTGTTTCTCTTACCCATTAAAAAGCAGAGATGACAGCACTTTTATTTTGCTTTCAGGCATTGTATATGATGAATGTTACATGTATTTCTGTTAATGTAATTTTGAACCGATAATATAAAATGTGTCAATTGGAGAAAAGGAACCATCAAAATTTTAAATCCCAGTCATACAAGACAGAAGGAACCAGAAGACTGTACTGTAGTGATGCACCCAATACTTACCATACTCAGAAGCTTCTATGTAGAAACATGGTAAATCGATGTTATTGATAAAAATGCACTTGTTTGCTATACTGTAAATGAAGAGTTAGCAAGGTGTACAGACTTTGTACAACTGGTTTCAAAGATAAATGCATATCATACTATAACACGTTTGATCTTTACTGGTAGTTGAAGAAGAAGTCAACTCTACTATCTCCTCTGCTTACCTGAGAAGGTCTGGCACACTGCTTACCATGTTCAAGCAATTGCAAAGTAGGCCGAGAAAAGCGCGCAGGACCAGGAAGTCCAATCCCAGTATGACTCTTCCCACACTTCTTTAGTCTTCCCAATTCATGTCTTCTCTGTGCACCAAATTTCCTGTGCACTTTTTTTTAACTTGTTGGTAACATGTCAGGTTGGTATCATACCTACCCTAGTTGTTTTCACTTTATTCCCAGAGGAACAGCTCCATCCCTTACGATCTGGAAGAACTTTACATTCCTCCCCTTCAAGACATGGTTGCATGTGGCACCACCATTTCTGCTCCACTATTGAAGCTACAAGAAAGGAAAACAAACACGTTTGCATGTTGCTGAAATGAACACTTTAATGTCACTGTGTTGCAACATTTATTTTTCAGGAAAATGTTAGAAATGTGTTGACTAACAGCTAGTTTGTGATTTTTCAGCCAAGTCAGAATCTTCATAAGAAATTAGGTCTCAATTTGTACAAGGTGCTATGTGCTTTGAAGTCAATCTCTTTACTATGTTTCTCTTTCTAATTTACTGCAGTTCAGGAACTAATTTCAAAGCAATTTTTTTTCAGCCCTCCTTTTTATTTGTTCAGTCAGATTCAAAGTTTGAAGTACAATCTCTTCTTTGGAGTTACTGCATTTTGCCTGATCTACTATATAGTCTAGCATAGCCTTCTTAGAATTATTCCTCAATGATGACATATTTACAGCTTCTCTGACAGCCAAAAACACGTCAACAGTAAAGATATCATGTAATGAGTGAATCCATCCTGCTGAAAAATCAGCTACTATATTCCCAAATAAAACATACGAGCCTATGCCAGATTTGTTAAGAGAACATTAATATTGCACTGTGAATAGGAAAAATAATGTTGGTCTAGAAAGACGAAAAAAAAGCCAGAACTGTTCTCTGTTTGTTTGCTTGTTTGTTCCTCTATAATAAAAATAAAAATATAAATAAAATGTAAGACTGCAACACATGAAAATTATATGCTCATATAGATTTGCATAAACACTTTTAATTAAGAGAATTTCATGCAACTCCTAGGGCACTCTGTTAGATAGATCAAATTTAGCATCTCAAGAAGTCTCTTTCACCAGCACCTGATAATTTTGCTTAGCATTTCCACAGAGTAATAGCAAATAATTCCTTTTTCCCATCTTCTTCTCATTCACCTTGGGCATGCCCTTCAAAACGCAGCAGCATTTCTACTCTTATTTTAAACAGTTAAATGCAATGGAGTGGTTATCACTGATGAAATTAAGCCAGCAAAATCCCCTAGGAACATGCAGCAAAAGGAAGCAATAGAAATAGTCGCACCATCAACACAAGAAGGAGCTGCCCGGGTGGTACCTGCTACCTGCCCAGGGAAGCAGGAGCACTTCACTGTCTGTGATCTTTCTTCTATCTTGTTCTTATTGCAACATCTGTGGAGTGCCACCACTTCACAGGTCCCGGTTTTAACATGGTGAGCTGTGAAAATAAGATGATGAGCAATTTGACAACATTGTGAGGTAGCATCATACTACTTCAGGGTTTTTTAATTAGAAATGCATTACACATGGTTCTGTAAGGCAATCTGCCATGCATGAAACTAGAATTAAAATGTTACTGACACTAGAATGTGAAGTTGATTTCTTTTACAAATGTAGTATAACCATCTCATGCAGAAAACACTGGCTAAATTCAAACAATTGGAGAAGGCTTCATATGGGACAGTTCCAGTGAATCAGGAAGCAGAAACATAAAACTAACCTAGAAAATATGTTAATTTCTGGACTCCCATAAACTGCTGTATAACTCTACCAAGATTTTTTTTTTTCACCTTTAGGGAGAAACTTTGAAATGGAAGTGTTTCAATGTTGAAACACCCATGCATGCACAGTTTTTCAGAATCTATGTCTCCAGAGTTTATGTCCAGGGCAGAAGCAGTTTTCAGTATGATATCCCAAAACCTTCATACAGATGAAAAGAGAAGAACTGGCAGGATAGAGGGACAGCCCTCAAACAAAACCCAGAAATAAAATCTAAAGAGTCACATTTGATTTTTGCCTGACACTGCAAAGTCTGGGAACATGGGGAACCGAGGTTTTCAAACACAAGAGGCAATAGGACAATTTTCATTACCCCCTATCCAGTAAACATCACCCTCACCCATGTTCCTCTAACGGATCACCAGGACCGTGCTACTGGAACCCTATGAGAAGAACAACTTGTTAAGAGGAAAGCTTACTAAACTACACTTCCTGTTTCAGCATCCAGCTACCAAAAGATCTGTAGTTCAAAAAAAGTAATTTTAACTAAACTTACAGTGGTTACTGATACAAGATCAGGTATTTCTAGGGTTAGCTCATTTCCATCAGAAAGAATCATAGAATTATGGAATCATAGAATAGTTTGGTTTGACAAGGACCTTGAACAGTCATCTAGTCCAACCACCCTGCAATGAACAGGGACATCTTCAACTAGATCAGATTGCTCAGAACCACATCCAGCCTGGCCCTGAATGTCTCCAGGGTGGTGCATTCCCCACCTCTCTGGGCAGCCTGTTCCAGTTTTACCACCTTCATCATAAAAAACGTTTTCCTCACATCCAGCCTGAATCTCCCCTCTTTTAGTTTATAACCATTACCCCTCATCCTATCACAACAGGCCCTGCTAAAAAGTCTCTCACCATGTTTCTTATAGGCCCCTTTTAAGAACTGAAAAATCTGAACTTTTAGCTGGTGTTGACCTACAACCTTGATAGGAAGGAATATTAATTATGCATATACATGCTTTAAGAGTACCCTTTAGTTCTCTATTTCCGCTGCTGTTAAACTTTTTGTATGCTTTATGCAAAGCAGCTACCTTTTGTATTCCAAATAATAAAACAGAAGCTTCCATGAGAAAGCTGTACTAGCAAGCTTTCAAGCAAACATTGATCTCTGATTGCATTTAGTTACTATTGCACAATATCAGTTCCCAAAAGACCTGAAGAAGGAAAAACAAACTTGATGTAGGCTATGGACCCCAAGAATGTGCCTAGAGGCAAAAACAACTGGCAGCAGCAAGGTATTCCATCAACAAAGCGTAGACTACTAAACATTTCATTCAGGCAATTTTCAGTAGAACAAAGTCCACTGAAAAGTCTGATCTTTGTGATCATTCACAGCATCGTACTTTGTTAGGTTACATTATACTCCACCACATCATGCTGCACTACAGCTGAAATAACACAATGTGAACAACTAGTCCATGATCCATCATTCTGCAATATGCTGAAATTTCACATAAAAATCAGAAATCTAAGAGGATTTTTTTTGCTTAAAATCTCTTTGCTTTGTTTTTTTAACTATTTATTATTTCTAATTCAAGAAAGGATGAGGAAAGCAATTCATACTACCTGCCTGTACTTTGCAATCTGTGATATTTTCATACCTTTACTTTTAATTATCTTCCAAGCTATTTCAGTGGTATACATGCCAATAAGACAATTTAAAAAATATATTAATTTTTCTTACTAAAGCAGTTGTAAGATTGGGGTGGGTTGTTGTTTTTTTTTTTGTGAATATAGCAAAAATATATTCTAGGATATATTTTGAATATATAATATATAGTAGAACAAACACATGCTGCTTTTGTAATTTCACATCAATTTTTATTTTGATAGGCAATTACATCTCTTATACCTACACATGCTAAAAGAAATTCACTAACATATATTATAGGAAATGACATAAAAAACCCAAACAATCTACAAAAGAAAGTACATTTAGTGGTAAGAGATGAACTTTGTCCCATATAATTTTTCACTACATTAGTTTTCAGTTATTATTTGTATTTCGATGCATATCACTGATCCTGAAATTTTGCCTCCTCACTCTCCTATTAAATAGCTTTACACTGCTCTACCAGGTCTACAGAAATGTCATGCCTGCTAAGTAAAATGTGTGCCAAGAGTCACCTGGAATGGAAACCAGTGAAAAGAGCTGTTGCAAAATTCTGTGAGGGAAAAGTTCACACTGAAACAAAACTTTTAAAAGAATTGTTTTGTAGTAATTAGGGGGAGAATATCAGGCATTTTAAGACTTTTATGGAAAATGAGTGAAATTAAATTAAACAGTCACATTCATGTACTATACAGGAAAGGATCTCAAAGGATGAAAAGATGTGAAAACTGGTAGAGAACAAAAAAATAATCACATACTATTGATAGTATTTGGAGAATCTTTAACAAAGCTGCTTTGAAATTTTTGGTATAAAACTAAAACTACTTAGAAAAGTATACAAAGATATTTCAAGCACTGAAAATCTAGGCCAACCATCCTCTAGTTTCTATCTACCATGTAGAGTATGAAAAGAATATTCCTTGAGAGGAAGTGTAGGGATTTTAGCTCCTTATGTTATCAAATAATTAAGTTCCAGGGCAGTAAGTACAGTATCTGTCACATTCATGTGAAATGTAAGCCTCTGTACAGTAGATAAAGGATTTCCCACGACCTAATACAAATTAACCTCATTAAGCCACTGAATCATTCCCTGAAAGAAGGATGGTACTTCAGGAGATACACATTTTGGTTTTGTTTTTTTCTCCTAGTACAGTCTTCCAAGTATGCTGCTTGCTTTGCAGAAAACGTTTGAGGAACTAAATGACATTTCTGGAATTCTACAGAAATTCATTATTCAAAATCACTGCAAACACTCAGTCCTTCATGCTCTACTATTGCAAGTAATCCTTCCTGAAATCCATGTGAAGGACTACAGAAAGCGATATCTATGTATATAGATTGTGAAGTTTTACTGATGATTATGCATAACATAACATATGTATATATTATGTTCCGGAAGATGTAACACTGTATTATGAGTGCATAACTAGGAAAATAGACATAACCATATCTCACCCATTAGTGGTATATCCTGTAATTAACCTGACACTTTTATATCATTTTTCATGTAGTGAAATCATCAATAGTTATCCCATAAATCAGTATGCTAGTGGTACAACAAAAACTTAAATGTTCATAATCATGATCCTGGAAAAAAATAAAGCTAAGTAATTATTATTTTTCAGTCTACGTAAAATTGCACTTAAAGACTATGTATAAACATACACAGGAAAGACCTTTAACTATATACAAATTCTACCTGTTCTTGTCCCTTCATGGCAACTTTTTTTTTTTTAATCAGGTGAATGACATTTCAGTCATATTTTTACGCTGAATCTGGCTTCTAAGTTATGCACAAACCTAGCATTAAATCAAGGAAAGTCTTCTGAATTCCATTGTTTGTTATCATTGCTATTTCCTAGCCCCACCACTCAAACATTGGTGTTCAGTTCTGATACCCATCTTCTCAACCATATGATTCTTTTCTTTCTTGTAAGTTGCACAAGCCATGCACTAACACATACACTGGCCATTAACAAAGAAAGAAGAAATCATGCTGCCATGGACTAGATTACAGTAGCTACATACAAACAGTATAAAAAACCCCAACCAACCAAACACCACCAAGGCGCTAGTATATGCTCTCTGCAAAGACACTACCACAACTGGGTGATGCAGCTAAACTCATTTAATCTCTAACATCTATTGAAAGAAAAAGATCCCTTGTCCCTTTTCACACCCTCCTTCATCCCTTGTTTACATGAACATTCTCATTTGATGATAACGACAGTAAACCAGGGACACAGACCAGCAGAATAATATGTGTATATATATATATATATATATATACTATATATATATATAATGTATTTTTTGTGGTAGTGTTAGTTCTCTGCAGGCTTATCTTCACACCTGGGTGTAGAGACTAGTGAGAATCAGTTTCAGCCATAAGGAAGCGGCAGGAGCAGGCAGCCTCAGATACGTGATTACTGCTGTGGAAACTAGCTCCTACATTGGCTTACAGGCATTGCATCTCTGCACTCTTACCTGAAATAAATGTATTTTATTCTCTTGCAGATAATTCCTCCAAGATCAGAGAGACTATGTAAAGTGTGCAAAGTTTTGTCTGATTATGTCTGTGTGGGTTTTAAAGCTTTTCGCAAAAACAAAGCTTTAGCTGAAACAAGAAGCAACAGATCAGCAAGAAGGAGAGGATTGGCAATTACTCTAAACCATGAGTTTCAATCCATATTACATCTAATATTATACAGTCTTTTGCCTTTTTGTCATCTTGGGTATAATTTGAAGATGTTCCATATGAATACTATAGTAACCCAGTCTTTCAAAGTAGGCACATAAGTAGTTTTTATTCATGTAAACCATATCCACATGAGTAATTGCATTAAGGACTATAATGGAATTACTTTTTTTAATAACTATCTGCAAGGAAAAAGAAACAATACTTCAGCAGATTATCAACCTGCTTCATCTGTTTCCCTGAGTGATCTGTCACTATTCTATACCACAGTATTGAAACAAGTGATTAAACAGAGGTAGGTTGTTGATATCAAATAAATAAAATTAGTGTTTATAACATAACAT